GGGGGGGGGGGCGCAGCCCAGGGCGCACATCGAGATTCTGGTGTCATGACCGACTCTGTATTGGGTAAACACCAGACTGAATTGGGGCATTAGTGCCATCTGAACCTTGCTATTTCACGACAAAAAGTGCTATGCTGGATGCAGGGGTTCCCAGCAGGGAGCGACTCTTCCCTCTGAGGGGACACCCGGCAATGTCCGAAGACACCGTGGGCTGTCCCCACTAGACAGATATAACTGGCATCTAGTGGGTGCAGGCCAGGGACACTGCTCAACACGCTGGACCGTGTACAGGATGCCCCAGCACAGTCACCTGCCCCCACAAGGCGGCAGTGCTGAGACTGACAAGCCGTGTGCAGATGGTATGGCTGGTGGGCAGATCCGTGACCAACTACCCTCTTACACGGAAGAGGCAGCTCTTCAGAAACCCAAGGCCAATTTAGAGATACTAGCACAGTATTCGATTCGATTCGAATCAGGATTCGATTCCTTGTGCACCCGTCTGTCCGAATTAATACCATACGCACCTGCTGCCATTTGAAATGACGTTTTGGGTTCAGGGTGTGGACTAAATCTAGCCATGATATACGGACGACAGCGCTGTTCAATTCCTACTCGTTTGAATTTAATTCCTTTTCTTCCCACATCTTTTGATTCGCTGGCTTCTATTTGCAATGAAAAAGTTTCCATGCACACTTAAAAACACAGAAGAATGTTCTTTCCTTACAAATCACTCCAGGAGCGCCTGGGTGGCTCAGTCGGTTAAGCGTCCAACTTCAGCTCAGGTCATGATCTCTTGGTTTGTGAGTTCACGCCCCGGGTCAGGCTCTGCGCTGACAGCTCAGAGCCTGGAGCTGCCTTAGACTGTGTGTCTCCCTCTGTCTCTGCTCCAAATATTAGTCATACAAAACTCAGTGCTTCTGGGTTGTGTCTGCTTAATGTGCAAACACGTTTCTGTACGTTCCGACCTTGAATTACCTCAGAAATTAGGAAGACCGGAAAGACGTGAGTTTCAGCTGGACACGAGCTAAACGAAACGTGACACCAGCTGAGTTCTGGTCACGATACTATATTCAAAAACAAGCAAACGATACGAAACCCTAACAAAACGTGTGAACAAGTAGCTGGTCACCTCGTCAACCATCTTCACCCTTCGGTTCCCACCACAGCGTGCCCACTGTTGGCCAACTGGTCAGCATGCTTCCGTATCACCTGCCTTCTTCACATATCCACACCTCAAGGGGATGACTACTCGGCCAAAGGTATCACGTGCCCAGAGTAACGAAAACACCTCCTAGTTTAAACCCTAAACGCACGTGGTCCCCCTATTTAATGACCGCAAGCCTAAGTCACCAATGAGACGACCTCTACGTTCTCCTGTACACACGTTGGAGCCGGCACTGCTGAGGAAGAGAAGCAGCCGTGAACCGTGAGGTCACGACCTGAGCCATCCAGGCACCCCAATTCAGGTCTTCTGCCTCTGGGGTCATGCGCCCCTATCCCCACACTTCACTGTTATGCAGGAAAAGAGACTAGATGGGACCTCGCGGGGCTGGTGGAAAACCGCCTCGGGCATCCAATCTAAGATGACAGAGGAGGGGCGCCTGGGTGGCTCAGTCCATGAAGCATCCGACTGTAGCTCACGTCATGATCTCATAGTCCATGAGTTCAAGCCCCACATCCGGCTCTCTGCTGTCAGTGCAGAGTCTGTTTCGGATCCTCTATCTCCCTTTCTCGCTTTCTGCCCCTCCCCCACTCATGCTGTCTCTCCCTCCTTCTCAAAAATAAATTTAAAAAAAATGAGGCAAGAGGCGATGACCACTGCCGGCAGAATGCACACAGGACAGGCAGAAATTTGGGTGTTTTCAAAGTTGGGGTTTTTGCAAAATGGTGGGGGGAACGGAAATGACAGAATACAGGATAGATTACTTCTGTACTTTTTGTAGATCTCTTTTTCATTCTGTTGTTTCAAGTTTGTCTGTTTATTTTGAGAAAGAGTGAGCCCGAGCAGGGGAGGGGCAGAGAGAGAGAGAGAGAGGATCCCAAGCAGGCTCTGCACTGTCAGCGCAGAGCCCGAAGCGGGGCTCGAACTCACAAACCACGAGATCACGACCTGAGATGAAACCAAGAGTCGGATGCGTCACCCACTGAGTCGCTCAGGTGCCCCTCAAAGAGCTTTACAAAAGCTAGAGAGAAAGCCGAATCCGACAGGCTTGTGAGGATGAAGTCAGTTCAAAGCGAGAGACGGGACGGAGGCGATCCCGGCAGGATCCCGGGAGACGGGGAGGGCACCCACCTCGTTGATGCTGATCTCGGCCTCCACATACTGAAGTCCCTTCTGCAGGATGGAGATGAGGGCAGCTGGCGGCACTAGCGTCCCATTGATGTTGGACTGGCTGATGTGGCTCTCAATACCGAACGTGAACGCCGAGTGGGAAAAACCTGCCGCGACAGAGAGGGAAGCTGGGGTTTCACGAGGCCCGAAGGCGGCACCGCCACCGAAGTCGAACGTGCCTCGTTAGCGGGGGCACACGTGGCCGTGGGACGCCCAGCTTCGGGTCTGGGGAGAAGCGGAGGGACGGGCAGGGCGGAAGGGATACAGCAGGGTCAGACCTGCTTGCAGGGGACGGAGACACAGCTTGAGAGGTAGAGCCATTTCGGCGTTAAGAGCCAAACAGAGCCCAGCGTGCCCTGGCTAAACGTCGTGCCAGTGCACCTCTGGGCTTCCTCTCCGCCTTCCATCAGTCCCTCCGGAGCTCCCCGTCCCCGAGTGCCCCCCCGACCCCGCTGCAGTGCACACAGGGCGCCTGTCTTTAGCCGGGCTCCGAGCGCTCAAGGTGGGGTAAAGGAACCACACAAGCAAACATCCGAAGAAAAGGAGGCTGTTCTGGACCCGCTGGGGTGGCTTGAGCTGTTTCATCTGATAACTGGTCGTTATTAGAGATGCCAGCTCCCCCCACCCTTCCCTCAACACTCGTCGGTCAGGGTGGTGGTTCCGGAATGCAGCAGACAACGCCGGTTCCAGGAGGGGCGGCAACAACGCAGGGCAGGGGGCAGGAGCACTCATGACCCACGTGGGTCCTAGGGCGATGGGGAACCCACAGTGGCCCTTCCTCAAGGACAGTAAGGGGGCATCTTACTGCCGGAGTCCGCGGCTGATGCAGCCCTTCTCCACGAGGGGGCAGCCCAGTCTGCTGGGGGTACCGCGTTCACCTTGCTCGGTGTGGGGAGGCCGAGGGTGCCGGGGAGCTGGGAATCCTTGTGGGGTGGAGGCTGTGTGATTAACAGGGACCCCTATGCTCGGCTCCCAGGCTGGGGGTGCGGTGGGGCCAAAGGCACTTGTGACTCTGAACTCTCTCACCATTTATACTGTGGGAAGAGAAGGGAGCAGTTCTGGGGCGAAGCGTCTACCTGCCGGCCGCCCTGCCCACTGCTCACACACGGCAATGCTGCAGCGTCCCCGGCGTCTGCGTGTCTCATAAGGCTGGACCCTTCGGACCGGTCTCAGAGTTACCCCCTTGGTGTGGCTTCTCCTGGGCTGGGCTGGGCCAGCCCCCCCACCCCCCGCCCGCTGCTTGTGGGGGTCCTGCAAACCCTGCTCTCAGGGAGGTGTCCCCAGGCAGCACGACCCATCCCCGCTGGCTCGTCCTACGTGCGGCCCTCCAGCACGGGACTCCCTGGGGTCCCTGCCGCCCGCCCTCCCTCCCTCCCGCGGCTAGAACGCCACCTTCGCCCGCCACACCGACGGCGGTGGCAGTGAGCAGGCCCAGCCTCTGTCGGATTCCACACCCGAACAGCCGAGGCAATAACCACAGTGCTCAGCAGATGGGAATGTTCCTCCGTGAAAGGAGGCTTCCTGTGTGTGCGGCCTCCTCTCCTTTCTCTACTCTCCACTCCTCCTCCACCCAGGCCTGTCGGCTCCCCAGTGCCTGATGATAAAGAATGCATAAAACGTGGACTTTATTTCACAGAGTCGTATGGTAGCCGCTGTCGGTTTTACAATCCGCTGCACAGAGGCTGTGAACTGCCTCGCGCAACTGTAAGCGCCTAACTGAGGCCGCACGGGACTGCCCCTCCGAGGCCCTCCCCGCGGGCTGCCCCCCAGCCTGCTCTTCTCCCTCCTCCTACGTGTCCCCCATCCCTGTGGCCATAACACAACCCCCACCCCTCCCCCACCCCACCCCACCCCTGTGGCCATAACACAACCCC